CACACGCGCACACATGCACACACACACACATACACAGACATTTTTGCTCTGTATTTCAGCATGGTCATTCCTTATTTTTAACTATAATAATAAAAAGGTTATCACACACATTGAAGTCAATTAATCATGCTGAAACTTACAAGTCAATTACAAGCCTTCTCACAGTCTGACACCCCAATTTATGGTACTTTACAGACCTTTATGAAGATCTGACCCCTAAACCTGTCAGTACTAGAGCCACACTGCGCTCACTGAGCTAAATAAAGCTATACAGGAAGTCTGCCTGAGGTAGTTCAGAATACTAGAGTTCACAGTTACTTCCTATGGTTTCAATCTTTTGGTTTTTTCTGTGTCTGATTTCCTCCATACTCAACACTGATTGTCAGGCAGTAATCACACAGGCAGCACGGCCCACAGGGGTATCATGATTGGTCGGCTTTACACAGCTCTGAACATTTCCTGTTTGTGTGTTTTCACTGCACCATTTTGAATAAGACATTTCCCTGCCAAGCCAACAAGTGTTACTATAGATAGTGACATAAAACAGAAACAGAATTCACACTGTTGAAACATATTTCTTAATGATATGAGAAGTATTGAAGTGCTGGTTTCACTGAACAATGCATGCAGCGGCTATAGAAAGTAGTGATAGTCCAGGTGCTTGCTGGGTAGTCACTATGGGGTATTGCACTGTGTTTCCTACAGAAAAAGATCTACAAGTACCGTAAGGTCCTGAACAACCCGAGTCGCTGGGACGTGGTGCTGAAGGAGATCAGAGCGCTGGTGGACATGGCTCTGACCTCGCCACTGCAGGACGAGTCCATCCACCAGGCTCCACTGCATATCATCTCCACCCTGCTGGCTGAGGTAGCAACACGCACACACAAATATTACATGCTTAGTCTTTACCCTAATTTAAAACTTAGCCTAATGGCCTTTTTCCATTTTCTTCTCTTTTTTTAATTATAACAAAAACAAAAGTCACTAATTACATTTACTCAAGTGTTGTACTTGAAGCTCCTAAAATTAACTTTTATTTTGTGTTGATTCTGGTGGCCCCTGTGGACAAGAGCAGTAGTGCTTCTATCGCCTCGTCTCATTAAATTCAAGGGGAATCCAACCTACTATATAGAAATAGAATAGTGAAATTGTTTGTTTTGTTAATAGCATCATAAAAAGTTTCTTCCCTTTGAATTATTAAGAGTGAATCTTTTTGAGCCAGTATTGTACCTTCTTTTTCCTCCATCCATAAAGGAATAAAAAAACAATTCTCATGTTTGGATTTGTCCTGGAGTTTTCACTGGTGTTGATGTCACTTCCAGTTAGGTAACGTATTCCAGGGAAGATGTTTGGATTCCCTTGAGTCACAGTGCCACGTACAGTAGTATAAAGCAGGAACCTCCCTCTCAACCACGCCTTATTTTAATCCTAGCTCTTAACTAAACGTGACACCTAACCACCTGAATCCAAATCTTAATGTAAAGATAACAAAGTCCCCTTTTTCACCTGGTTGTGAGGACATTTAAATACAGTATGACACACACAATAATCCATTTAATTCTTGCCTAAACTCTTCTGTTTTTCCTTTCTCCTCTTCCTCCCCGCAGAACTCTAATCTCAGCACTCAGGATCATGAGAACATCATTGTGGTGAGTTCACTGTCACTGTAAATTGATATTTGATGTCAGGCTGAAGTTAATCATTAACGCCCTTGAGTCCGGCCTCTTTTCGTTTTTATCTTTTAAACTGAAGAAAAATATAGACTCTCCTCACATGCTTGTTACACTTGTGTATTTGTGTGTTTTTGATTGATGCCCATATGGCGGTTTCTGAGCAGAACAGAAGAGTTCGATGCTGAGAGAGGTTGTGGTGTTTGTGTAGCTCACCTGTGGGGCTGTTTTTACAAGGCTCCTGCACCTGACAGCCTAGAGCTACACTGCTGACTCACAGCAAGGGTAAATAAGAGATAGGATATGGAAATATTCATCTGTGTGTGTGTGTGTGTGTGTGTGTGTGTGTGTGTGTTCAGGCCATTGCTCCTCTTCTGGAAAACAACCACCCACCACCTGACCTGTGTGAGTTCTTCTGTAAGGTGAGGTCATATGCTGTAGTCTCATAATACATACTTATATAAATACATATAGCCACTGTAGTAGAGATAAGATAAATAGTTTCAAGCATTTTAAAGTGCTTCCTGTGTGTGTTGCAGCACTGTCGGGAGCGGCCTAGGTCGATGGTTGTGATTGAAGTGTTCACTCCTGTGGTCCAGAGAATCCTCAAACATAACATGGTGAGAACTGCTCTGTTCAGGAGCTTTCAGTAGCAGGGATGATAACTGGGTATCAGTTCCCATTTAGTGCTGGTTCCACACCCTGTTTATTGCATGCAGTGTCATGGTTTTGGTCATTTATGTGAAAATGCTACATTCCTTTAATCTGGTAGAAAAAGAAATGCATCCAGTACATCTGGTAAATCTGTTATAAATGAAAAAAACAACTCCATGTTGCTGAGTTTAGCAGAACTGGAGAGCTGCTGGTCCACTGCCTGTCTGGTGGCTTTAAGGAGAGCAATCAGTTTCCTGTTGGAAAGGGATGTGTGTCAGCAAGTAGTGGTGAAAATAACTATAGGTGGCTAAATATGTTTTGTTGCATCAACTATCTAAATAAAAACATAAGATGCTCCAAAAAAAAGTCGTTTCCCCATCCCAAATTAGAATCATCTCATTTTAACTTTTTGACTTAATTGCAAAGGGTAAGAATTTACATGCCAGCTGAAATATTTCATATGTGTTTCCAGTGCTTTTTGATAAACTGCATTAATGTGTACACTGTTTTGGAAAGGGGGTTAGGGTTGACTGGGACTGCTATGACTGGGAAATAATAATCTTGTCAAGAATGTTTTGCATTAGAAAAATAATCAGGTTTTAAGAAAATGTATCTAACTTTTAGCTAATTCTGAGCTTGATTTAACCAGTAACAACAATGGTTGCCTAATATCCCAGCAGGGGAACAGATTATTGTCCTTAAGAGATTTCCCGTCCTATTGTTGGAAATGATGCAGCTTTTTAGTTTTTTCATTGTTTTCATAAAAAATGCTAAAAATAAGAATGTTTCTGGTGCCTCCTAACCCTAACCCTAACCCTAACCCTAATCCTGTTTAAAGAAATTGTGTCTTATTGTAAGATGTTTTATATTTTTTGTGCTAATTATTAATCTTAGATTGAGCTACAAATTCTTAAATTTATCTCAATTAAGTGACCAAAATACTTCAGTCAGGTTTTTTGTTGCTTGTTTTCATTGCTTGTGATAAGCACAACTGGCTTACAGTTTTGGCATTTGTTCTGGTTTTAAGGCCCATTACTTTTGCCTATTTCTTTTGCATGTTGGTTGATATATGTTTGACTTGTTTTTGTGCATCTCTTTGGCAGGATTTTGGAAAGTGCCCTCGACTGCGTCTCTTCACTCAGGAGTACATCCTGGCTCTCAACGAGCTGAATGCTGGGATGGAGGTCGTCAAGAAGTTCGTCCACAGGTAAGAAATTGTCATGCACAATGAGAGCAGGTTCTTTAAACCTGTTAATGCCCTGTCTGATCAGATGTAGACATGTAATCTACAAAGACGCAGTTGTTTAGGAGTGCCTCACAAGCCTTGCTGTATGCATGGTTTTAGAAATACGGAGGTCCAAAATGGGTGGTTTTGGGGCATGCATCAAAGCATCAAAGTAGTTAGTTTTACTTTTTATTTTACGTCTTTTATTCAGAGTTTCCACGCATCCTGGAAAACCTGGATATTTAGAGACTAGTTTTCCAGTCATGGAAACACCTGGAAATTGATAATCTATGTTGTCCTAGGAAAATTGAATTGCATTTTAGCCCCTCATTCAGATCGCCTATGTAAAACTGGGTTAGTGTGAAGCTGCAGTAAGGGTAGTGCTGCATTTGATCAAGTTTGTACCCAGATAACATGCAGTAGACAGTTGGGGCCGTAGGTATATAACCTGCACCTATGTGTGTTGCAGCATGCACGGGCCAACAGGGCAGTGCCCTCACCCACGGGTCCTGCCAAACCTGGTGGCAGTGTGTCTCGCCGCCATTTATTCCTGTTATGAGGAGTTCATCAACAGGTCAGTCATCCACATGCACACACACACACACATACACACACGGTAGCTTCTTGTCTTTTCCCCCCGAACACAATTGAGTGTGTAAACTCTTGGCTTGCCTCACCACCTTCACATTTGATCTTGTCAGTTTTCCACCTCTCCCTCAGCGCACCTGCTTACCTTTCTACTCATGTCCGGACATCTTGTTTATCTGACCGCTGCAGTTTGAGCAGCTCAGATCTGTTGGACCTGAAGGTCAGCAAGACAAGCTGCAGCTACCCCTGGGGCCTCATAATGCCATAGTGCTTGTATACAAAATGGCAACCATCACTTACTGACAACGTATGCACACTCCTGACAAAATACTCAAAAGTGAAACGTGACTAAAAGCTGCTTTCTTTGCACCAGAGTCTTCACACTACATTGTAGTTTATTTACTGACAGTGTTCATATGCTATATCTAATGCTTTACTTTTACATGAGTTTACAGTACATTAGGTCCATGTGTCCAGTACATCCCTTTGCTGGGATTTTGTCTGATTTTGTGTCATTTCCAAGCATGAGAAAGAAGCTTTGCCACAGCAGCCATTGTTTCTTAAGGCTGACCATCCCACACAGTATCTGTTTATTCAGCTCTTGGTTACCTCTGTCCATTTTTTTTATTGATTAGACAAACACATTACTGGTAATTTCCCCACATGTTGTACAACTAATAAGAAGAAAACAGTCATTTGCAGATGTTACCGGGAAAGCAGATCAGATACGGGACAGTCATCATACCATATTCTGCCATTTATAGCCTAAACTAATTTGCAATGTCCCAACATGTTGTGTTTTTTTATAACTCAATAACTCTACAGTGCAATGGCATCATTCTTGGGAGTCTTTCAGAAAAGAGCTTGGTGTAAAAGGAACTGAGAGCGTTGCAGGTGATAAACAGACCTTACCCTTCAGTGTATCAATTTTCCAAATATTGCTGCTTTTGACAAATATAATCTTTGTCATAATTATTAAATGTAGTTAATTGTTTATAGGGTAAATTGCCTCCATCAGTCATACTTTCAAATACAGAAAGCATGGGAATGAAAAGGAGCTGCAATAACTCTTTGCACAACATGTGGTGATTTAAGTTTTGTCAGTAGATTTACATATGTTATGGTACATTAGAGAACAGTTTTGGAAAATAAAGCAGTGTTCTGTCGCCCCAAGAAAATCAGTGATTTATATTTACATGCTCTCTTTTCTTCCTAGTGTGTTCCGCAGGGGCATTTTGTTGACTTCAGATGTATGGCATAGGCTATTCCCCCAATTAGCGTTGTCTCCTTAGCATCCTCCACCCCAGAGATGATAATTCTTAGCAAATTTTTCCAAAACTCAAGCACACAAAGCAACCCATCTCTCTTGGCTCTTCTCACCTCTCCTTTGTTCCCCTTCTGTCATTACACTTGGCCTATTGCTTACACTGTCACTGGCCTTACTGCTGTGCTTTGACAATTACTGTCCCTGCACTGAGTATAGGTTTCATATGTGGTCCAACTCACCTCTCCCCCTGTTTGCCCTCCCTGCAGTCGGGACAACTCCCCCAGCCTAAAGGAGATCAGGAACGGCTGCCAGCAGCAGAACGACCGCAAGCCCCCAATGCCGCTCCGCCTTCTGCGCCCCGAGCCTCCGACGCCGCCTCCTGCCACCCTCCTCCCTCTCTCCGCCAACCCCAGTCCTCCCCAGCCACCTCCGCCCGCTCCCACAAACCCTGCCCTGTCCATTCCCATCTCCTCTCCGACGCCCTCCCTGCCCCTCTCCCCTCCACCCTCTGTCGTCAACTCCAGCGAGATCCTCGTGGAGCTGGAGCGAAACAACAACTCAGCCAACACCAGGCGGAAGGAGGGGCCGTCGGGGGGCGACAGCGAACCCAACCTCATCGACTGTCTGTTGGTCAGCCCGGCCGTCAACACTCTGTCCATCCAGCTGCCAGCACAGGCTGACCGAGTGCTGGGCTGCTTCGCTCTCATCCTCAAGATGCTGTGAGTGTAGATACCTCTGTAACTTATGGTGGACTCCCATTCCAAAATGTGTTACTACACACCACATATCCATGATAATAATGATAATAATAACAACAACACTAACAGACAGAATAAATAAAAGACAGGCAAATTACAACAGGTGCAAATACTGCACGATTTAAACCACACAATCAAATGAATAACAGACACATCAAATAGCAAGGTGGGCTCGAACACGAGAATGTGTGAAAGTTAAAATGAGAAGTAAGATAAAGCTTAAGAACTATACAATATGTAAAAGATAAGAATAAAATGAAGGAAAGTGACAGTTAGTTAAAGCCAATGTTAAATAAGTTTTCAGTTGTGGTTTAAAAATGTTCACAGAGCTTGCATCTCTTATAGCGTTGGGTAGGGAATTTTCAGTAAAAAGGGTGAGAGACGAACAGATATCAGACTGAAAAATCATGGAAAACTGCCACTGCTTCGAACAAAAAAATGATTTCGTAAAAAGCCTTTTCACAAAAGTCTGTCTTGATGGAGCTACTTTAAACTTACTCCAAGCCAATTTAATATTGTAGAAAATGACATGTCAACCACCAGGAACCAGGAAGCGTCCTAGTTTGTAAAGGTGACATAATGTGAGTGTGCCTATGGCTGAAGAACTGATCAGTGTAAATGGGTTGAACAGCCCTGAATGAATGAATGCATGAGCCTCGGTGCTGATTACACAGTGTGAACGTGGAGCTGTGTGTGTGTGTGTGTGTGTGTGTGTGTGTATCCCCTTCTGTCGAGGTGTAGGTGCGGTAACAAAGCAGGAAGGCCTATAAAAGTGACAGTGTCTGTGTGTTTGTAGCATTTGTAACAAAGCCAGTCTTACTTAACTCACAGTAATGTGATGCTGCTCTAGTTTCTGTTAAATCAGTGCTGCAGCTCTGCGTCACCTCGCCGCCACTTGTTTCAAATGCTCCCAGGCTGCACTGCTGTCTTTCATTGTTAAACTGACATCTCTGTCCTTTTCCCTCTTGTTTTTACTGCTGTCTGTCTCTGTCAGGTCGGACTACGATGACTGGAGACCTGCTCTGGCCAGCCTGCTGCAGCCCATCCCCTTCCCTAAAGAGTGAGTATTCACACACACATACCTCAGCTCACACTTTGCATTTTATTAATTTGTCTAGTGATCTCTCATACTAGCCACTTAAAATGACCAGAAGCTTCAGATCCTCTCTGAACAGTGTGCTCTTAATATCCAGCCGCCATAGTTTCGGTGAGAGAAGAGAGGAGTTGATGAAAATGTTGACACTCTCATCTGCAATTATTGTTGTAAACTTGCTAATTAAGCGTTGGGAGCAGCATTCAAGTTTCCTTGTCATCTTAGTGGAGGTTGTGGGAACATTAAAAGGTTACTGCACTTACTACTCAGTGTGGAAAAAAAGCAACTCCAACTTTTCTGCATGTTTTCCAGTTTTTATAAAAGTAATTGATGGGAGAGGTATTCCGAATTCTATACTTGAAAATAGTAAAAGTAGTAATACCATAGTTTGATAATGCTCTATTAGAAGTAGAAGTCCTGCTTTCAAAACCTCATTTTGTGTTGATTCTGGCGGCCCCTGTGGCCAAAAGTGGTAGTGTTTATACAATCATAACAGTAATAGAGAACAACTGATAAACTGTACAATGAAAAAGGCGTGTAAAAGTGTAACAACAGCAAGGGAACAAAGGAGAGGTGAGAAGAGCCAGGAGAGATGGGTTCCTATGTGTGCTTGAGTTTTAGAAAAAGTAGCTAAGAGATGTCTAGTGGCACAAAATATAAATATTTAAATAAGTACAAGTACCTCACAATTATATGGATAGAACTTGTGTTAGTTTCCACAGTTTTTGTTTCAAACCTTTGACTTCATTGTGTCAGCCTCTCTGCTGGAATCAAACCTACACCCTTGGAATCAGTAATGCCAGTGCCGAGGCCTCAGTGGCCTTTTTTTTTTATTTTTTATTTTATGACAGAGATAGACAGGACCCCTTTCCTGTCTATCTCTGTCATAAAATAAAAAATAAAAAAAAAGAGAGAGGAGGGTATGACCACGCAAGCCAAAAGCCGCAGGTCGTGCCCGGTCATCGAACCCTGGGCTGCTGCAGCAAGGACTCAGCCCTCGGTACATGGGTCGCCAGCTCTACCCACTGAGCTAACCGGGCGCCCCCTCAGTGGCCTTTTTATTGTTCCTGTGAACATGCATTGGTTAGATTGAGTTACAAAGTGTCTACACAGCCTGCGCAGTGAAAGCAGCATATTAGCAGAACAGCAGCTTCAGGCCTCCATCTGTGTCAGCGAAGGATGTGTTCAGGCCCAGCGTTGAGTGTTTCAGCAGTGCTCAGAACCCGGTCACTGTAGTAGTACTGCATTTCAGTTGAGAGTTTTGGTGGCTTATGACAGTCTAAATGCAGAATAAAACTTTTGGTTGCAGTCCAAAAACACCAGTGCAGCCGGAGTCATAATCATATACTGTAACCATCAGCTGCACCAGCCCTCCCACCGGCTTCACTCTTTCCTTCTTCCACTCTCTCACATCACTCTCTCTGGGGATGTAAACATGTTTCTTGGAGGGTCCTGTTGGGGACTGGCTGCTGACGTGGTTGAGGTACCTCACCACGCCTCCTGGGGGTCGCGAACTGGAGGGCGGCTTCTTTCTCCCCCAGAGAGCCTGCTTTAATTGGCCATAAGCAGCCCCGAGCCTTATATGTAATTGGCTGGCTGATCCTGAGCTTTATTAGCGTTGACTCGCTCCCGACTTGTTGTTTCTCCAACACTGGGACGCACCTGTTGCTCACCTGTGCCACTGTTGCCTGGTCGATGGCTTCAGGCGTCATTAGGAAAGGCAACAATACTCCCCAGCACCCTGTCGCTGAGGATATAATGAGTCATATGTACACACACATCAGAGACACACACAGACGGACACTGGTACTGACAGTGTTGAGAAATATGTTTATTTACTTTCTTGCCAAAGATTTGATGAGAAGATTGACCCCACTCTCATGTGTGTACTGTAAATGTGAAGTTGGAGCCAGTTGTTTAGATTAGATAAATTTAGCTTAGCACAAAGGCTGGAAACAACTAGCCTAAGGTAATTAAATCTGCCTTTAAATTCCCCTCTAAAGCTCACTAATTAACACGTTATATCTCGTTAGCTGAAGTGTGTAAACAACACGTCATGGTTTTATGGGGTTTATTTTCTGGACTATTTCTTGGCCATGCAGGAGAAGCTGCCAGGCAACTAGCATAGACTCCAGGTAGTCTGTTGGCTTTACACACCTTACCAGTTGCTGTTTTGTTTTTCTATTGTTATTATCATTTTTCTATTATATTATTTTATAACTAAGGACATGTTGAGTTAGCCAACTCAACTCATGTTACTTTACGGCAGGTACATGGTCCAGCGCAAGCTGCGCCTCTACGTCTAACTCATAGATTATGTGGAATATATGGGGATTACTGGATATCTTTGTAAAACTGTTTTTCAGTTAATTAATTTGTGCTATATTTTGGCTATGGGCTTAAAATTTATTTCATTATTACATATTTATAATTCATGAAATCTGGATCGGTGATGCCAGTCCCAATATGTGAATTATGTTAACCTCGGCACCTGATAACGATATTGGATTGGATCCCAACTCTAATTACAAACACATTATTTGTAGATGAACTGGAAAATGATGAACTACACATATGCAGCTTAATTTTGATGTATTAGTACAAACTTAAAACACAAAAACTTGTGGTCAGTTTAGAATTTAATTATCCATTTCTTTGACCTGATTCATATCCTGTATCATCACAGCCAACCTCTTGCAACGACTGCTAAAACAGAATTGTAATGACTCCCCACAGGGATCATTAAAATGTCATCTAAATTAACAAACAGTCCTGAGAAGTTCCCATTCTCGTGTCATGTGCACACATGCTGAAAATGTCATAATGGTCTCTGCGCTCCCTCTGAAACTTATCTGAGCATGTTGACTGTATGCACCAATATAAAGTAACACTGTGCTACTGTGTCATCAGCTTAACATCATTGTGAGAGGTAGCACAAAGCAGAACTCCAACCCAAACATGTTAAACTGTCCTCCAGAAATGCTTGTTTTTCCCCCTGTAAACATCAAATCTGAGATATATTGCCAGAAAAGCATGCATTAAATGAACTTTTCCCAAAAGATAAATGTTTGTTTTGTCATACTTCTTAGCTCTAAGTATTCTGGGCAGAAATATCTCACATCTCTCTTTGTCTTCCCTCTCTCCAGGGCCCTTGCACATGCCAAATTCACAAAGTAAGTAACTCAGACATCATAAACTGTTCTTCACACATTGAGTTAGATCCTAGTTTAAAACAACCTGACATTTGTGTCTCAATGTTTCTCTGTCTAAATAGGGAACTGAAATATGTTATTCAGAGGTTTGCGGAGGACCCAAGGCAGGAGGTGAATGTGTGCATGTTTACCACTGTTTCAACCTTGCTCAGCTCTAGAACTTAAAGGATATATATACAAGTTGAGAATAATCGTCAATCAATGTGTGTGTGTGTGTGTGTGTTTTCCAGGTCCATTCCTGCCTACTCAGTGTGCGTTCAGGTAAAGACGGCTGGTTTCAGCTCTACAGTCCAGGAGGTGTGGCATGTGATGACGATGGAGAGCTGTTTGCCAGTATGGTGAGTGTATGGACACACTCAGCCAGCCTGAACAATCAATGTGTGCTAATTAATGTGTGGTTGTGGTTGCTTACGACCTCCTCTTCCTCTCCTCCAGGTTCATATCTTGATGGGCTCCTGCTATAAGACCAAGAAGTTTCTGCTGTCTCTGGCTGAAAACAAGCTGGGTCCCTGCATGCTGCTGGCCCTACGTGGAAACCAGACCATGGTGGAGGTATGTCCATGTTTCTTTTTATTCTTTTATCAATAAATATTCTCAATCATTTCTCATGGTCTCTTCTAGTAGTAGTTTAGTTTGTTGACCATTTTGTGTCATTGTTGTGCCATTTATTCTTGTCACTTGTTCCAAATGTACTCTGAGCACTACCTCCTCCACAAGTACACTGATTCTCACATATAAAATCAGTGGAGTGCCTTTACAGTATGTGTGTGTTTATGTGTGTGTCCAGATCCTGTGTCTCATGCTTGAGTACAACATCATTGAGAACAAAGACACCCAACTGCAGATCATCTCCACCCTGGAGAGCACCCACGTGGGCCTGCGCATGTACGAGCAGCTCTGTGATCGACAGAGAGAGCTCAAAGAACTGGTGAGTTACTGCTCCAACACATGCAGTTCTTTATTATGCACACTGAGGCCTGAAGTTAACACGGTGCTGTACTCTTTGGCACCCTGCAGTTCTTTTATATCTGAACTAAGAACATCTTGTCCAACTCATCCCACGTTTCTGTCGGGCTCACCTTGGTGGAGCAAAGGCCTCTGCTGGAAAATCAAGTCACCAGTTTCTCATTACGTACAAATTCCTGTGTCCTTAGTGACCTACTAGTCAATCCACAATCCTGACACACTACTGACTGCAACCGTTAGAAGTTAAGAAACAAGCATGCCCTGGATAAGATGGGCATTTAGGAGAAATATGTATCATGTATGAGCACCTCCATCATCTATTGTGTGGGGAAAACACTGTTGTTCGTCGTGCGAGGTAAAGTTTGTTCAGACAGCCGCAGGTCTGGTGGTAGAGCGGGTCGACCATTGATTGCAACGTTGGTAGGTCCATCCTGGAGCTCCTCTGGTCAACAACTTCTAGCAAAAAAGTACAGAAGCTTTTTTGCAGTTTCAATATGCGCTACGATAGCTATATGTCTGCGATAGGCCAATATCTGCTAATAATGTCTCATTATTTCCTTTAATCAGTATACTGGCCATACATGAATATACTTTTCAAGAACCTTGTTCCAGGTTTCAAGCCCAATTCAACAAGTTTTTATATATCAGTTAGTTGTTTAAATTCTTTACATGATGTTAAATGTGTATGCTTAGCACTGCAGTTGGGTCCTCCTGAGTATTTACTTAATCTGGAAATCAAGCATTCATTATCTGTAAAAATGTTGTTGCCATATCAGAATTTTAAACTTTGATACAGCATTAGTATAAAAAAGGTAGGAGTTTCAATACCACGCCAAAAAGTATCAGTACCATTGAATGTATAATTAATAGAGATTGTATGGTTTTAAACACATAGTATCAAGAAGTATCGTAGTACTGAAGAAGTATTGACAACCATAGTCTGTAATCAGCATGATGTCACATATTGTTCCATATTTTAGAACAACAGTCCCTCTTGATGTTACCAGAAGGTTTTTCATATACAGTTTTGTCATTGTCTCACCTATAATCTTCTTAGGGAATCCACTACATGACATAAAGATCTTAATAAGGCAGAGTGTTTGATTTAAAAGAGAAGGTGCCACTGTGGTGACCTGGTAGCAAGAGACAAATAAAATAGTAACTGTGCATGGATTTGCCACCATCAGCAGCTTGTAATGTTCAGGATGGGTGTTATGCGAGCCAAAATTCTGCGTGCAGAAAATTCTGGGTACAGATGTACGTCATTACAGATATTAATTAATAAATCTGCATAAATCTGTGCAATTTGATATATATACGTATATATTCAATAATTGAAGTTTCTGTAGTTCAGTATACTGTGTATTTATTTAAAGATTTTTAAGTCGATTATTTTTGCTATTATTCACACACTTTTACACTGTTGCCACTAAATCTTTTCTGTTTAACCCCAAAAATGATGGGGCATAACTTCACATGGAAGACTATCTGTGATGCAAATGAATTCACAGAACATAGATATGGACACGCACAGTTCATGCTACCTTGCGCTTGGCTTGATTATTCAAAGCAGGCAAAATATTAAACTTGTAGTGTAACTGTAATAAAATAAAAAATCCAGGGCGCCCGGTTAGCTCAGT